ATGATGGTGATGATGATAGCGCAACTGGGATATACAGTGCTAGTATACTACTATCAAAGGGATAAGTCCATTCATACATAGCTTCTCCATGATACAACACCAAGATATTATTATTAGGATGCAAAAAATGCCAAGTTTCGCGCGAAGCGCGAAGTTTCATGAAAGTTGAAAGGGGTTCCGGGCGAGGCCCCGTACCTTTTCTATACCGAGGAAAACCAACTTTCATGAAACCTCATGTGATGCATCGACGGTTGATGCCAGACCGGCCACCACTACTACCAAGGACAAATGATAAATGTAAACTGCACTACTACAACTATTCATAGGTGATATGCCAATCACAATATATAGAACACAAAAAGACTGAGCCAAACTGAACCATCGTCATTGTTCTGGACCAGGCTGCAGCAGTTCATCAGCAAGCTTCTTGCCCATGACATCAATCGTCATTGCCAAGGGTCCAAGACTAGGGCAATCATCAAAGCCAAAGTATGGGGTGAATACTACATCGAGATGGCTGAACTTCACATAGATACAGGAAGATGAATGGACTTGATCCTGCTGATAGCATTGGTGAAGACAAAATCGCAAATGAAAACTTGCAACGCTATGTTACAGGTTTTTGCTGTTTCCTTGTTTGCACAACTCCAAGCAATAGATCCCAATTGACAAGAGTTCCTTGAAGCAGTATTTTGGCCAACACTTTTTGGATTGCTGGCTGCAGTGTAAGAATCATCCTCATTTTATTGACAAGGCTGATGATTGGTTTCCTGAATGGTACACAAAGCTTTGGGCGGTTTTGAGCCCACCAAGTGTACTAGCTAGTACTAGGTTTCAATTAAAAATGGCCCAGAAAACAATGTCATTGTATCCTGAAACATGGACTAGCTACCATACCATGAGGACAAAGAAATTGCTGACTATATATCAGCAAACAGTAAACATACTAGTTGGAAAATGCATGGCAGACGACTGAAAACTCAGTTCTGTCAAAAGGACTTGGTCATCTTGAGACACAGCTAGCAGCCTCTCACAGAGAGCATCTGAATACTAAGAAGAAGCTAGCATGTATGAAGACACCTGATCATGGTACTGCTGACAAGAAGATTCTTGCCAAAGAGACTACATTTTTCAGAGGTGAGCATGGATATTGTGGCAGCATCTACTAAACCATCATCACGCACACGCCTTTCTGCACTACTACACACACAAACTATGAGATCGATCACAACATCTATCTCTGATGGAAACCATTCAGATAAGAAACTTGGAGATGCAGGAGTGACATTGGCAACTTGTATTGTGACCCTTCGTCATCAAAACAATCAGTTACCTGTTGACAAAAAGCAGAGTTCAAGCGGTGTCAAGTACTATTTCAAGTATCTTTCTGATTGCAAGCACAGCCTTCATCTGGAAGACTATGTCATTATTCAACAACAGAAGGCGGTCTTGAAGAGTACCACCGCCACTCTTCAACAAGTGATGGACACAGCTGAAGCTATTGAATTTGAAGCATTGAAAAGGCTAGATGAGCTACTAGAAGGCATAGATCCCAATGTTGCAATGAATGAAAGAAAATCCAGGTTAAGCAAAGAAGAACTATGTTCGAATGGGGAAACGAGTTTGAGCCTACATGAAGTAAATGGCAAGCAAGGTGATGTCCGATGCCCCTTAACCAAAAGGAGACGATATCTTGGAACTGGCATTTGTTCCTCAAGGCAAGATTGCTAGTTGCTAGTAGACTTCAACAAGTTCCAGACCCTCCTGCTGCTGAAAAACTGGATGTTTTGCTCCAATCTCCGCCCACTTTAGCAGCAGTAAGAAGTAGAAAGCAGTGCAGTGGCAAGATAGTAAAATCCCACCCCGCTTCTGCCTTCTTCGTTCCTCTTACTACAGAGTTCCTCTTACTAGAAAGCAGCGCAGTGGCAAGATCACACCCCCCATCCCGCTTCTACCTTCCTCGTTCCTCTTAGAAAGCAGTACAGTGACAAGATCGTAAATCCCCGCCTCTGCCTTCAATGTCAGACAGTGAAGAGTGCTGGCAATTTGGAGCGCTTCCTGAGTCGGTCGCAAATAAGCAGTTGTGATGTTCGTTGCGTTGCGTTGCGTTGCGTTGCGTTGCGTTGTGTTGTGTTGTGTTGTGTTGAGTTGTGTTGCGTTGCGTTGTGAGCTGAGCTGTGTTTGAAAATGTCCTTGAGCTCCTCGACAATGGAGCCTTTGTTTCTGCTAATTGGAAAGGACACAGTTCGATAGTCAATTCGTCAAGAGATGGAATGAAAGACAGTGACGCCGTTTACATAATAAAAGTCAACGCAAAGCGTCACGTTCTTGAGATCTTCGTACATGCTCTTTGGGATCTGGACGATACAACTTCATGTCTCTGGAAACCGGAAGAGAAATCAATGGGCGAGTGACAACGGCGATGCCCATCACTGACGACGTGATCAAGAGAGTGGAAGAACTCGGACTTGAACAACAGCAGCCGTATCGAGAATCGAAAATGCTGAAGTATGAATGGCGACCAGGACAACCGATCACCGCGGATGACATCGTTGCACCTGCTGAGGCAGCACAAGACCCCCTAATCTTGCCTGAACCTATCGTCATAAATCTACCAAATGCTGAACCCAATCCTTTCGTACCTATTGATGTGGATGATCTGCCAGGAGCGGATGAAATTGAGACAGAACTACCGGACAATCAAGAGGAACAAGGGGGGGAAACTCAAGGAGCGCAAGGAGCGGAAACTCAAGGAGCGCAAGTCGAAGCACTGGTCGAAGATCAAGGAGCGCAGAACGGCAACCAAGAGCAACCACAAGACGTGATAGAAGAAAATGATGAAAACGAAGATGACGATTTCTCGGCAGAAGTGGATGCGACTGACGATGAAACGGAAGATGAAGCTGATGCCGACAATTTGGGAGATACCGAAGAGGACGTGGCAACAGCGGACGAGACGGAGGACGGGGACCAAACAGTAGTAGTGGCAGCCAGTAATCCGGAGGACAAAGAACGAAGAGGAGGCCATCTTGACACGAACGAAGGAGAAGACTTCGGAAGAGGAAAGAGAGAACGAAAACCCGCTGAAAAGTATTCAGCATTGCAAACAACAGGGATCAAGAAGACCTCTGGAAAGGTAAAGGGAAAGGTGAACAGCTTTCAGAGGAGAAAAAGAGCCGCTCACAATAAGAAAAGAAATAAGACTAGCAAAAGTTCGATCACGAAAAGATCGGCAAATAAAAAGAAGGCCAAAAGGAAAAGGATTTCCTTTTCGTTTTTGAACAAGAGGTTCGAAGATTTGGAAAAGGAAGAAAAGGTGGATTTCTTCACTTGTGCATGGGAGGAACACCAGCTCACCGGAAAGACTCACCTTTTGGAGCGATATACC